AAACCCCGTGGATAGCAAAGCCAGTGGCTGCTGTCAAAGGGAGGCTTGGAGGGAGAGGAGGGACACTGACTGCTGTGGTGAAAAGCAGTCCATCCCACACCTATTGCCAGTCCTGGTTCTTGTCTTTCCTTGACATCAGCAAACCCAACAAATTTTACATCCTCTCTTCATATCCTGCGTCATCTGCACATGTCTCTGGCACCTGGGGCTTTTCTCAGTAGAAGCAGAGCAGTCTTGGCCCTTCAATTGGAGGTAACAAAATCCACCTCTTGGTATTTGCTGCTGATAGCAGCACAGCAGTGCAGGTTGACTTGCCCTATTTCACTTTTTCTTTAAGTGAATCAGACGTCCCTGTCCCAGCAGAGCAATGCCTATGAAAAGGGTGGGAGAATAGCATTGCAACATGTTGCTGAGAGCTCTTCACCACCACCGCTTAGAGCTGCCCTCTCATTATACAAAGTGGAGGAACAATAAGATGTTTTCAATACAATTTCAGTGATCAGTCAAAAGATTTTGGTTACCAGACTTATGCTTTTTTTTGCTTGGTTTGACCTATGTGCATTTTGCCACGTTGGCTAATGGAAAATACGACTGTTCTGAACAGACAAGCTCAGCAAAGAAGAGCAAGCAGAAGTGCAGCACACAGTACAAAAATACCACTTGGACTTATTAAGAGGTTTCTTGGGCTCATCTAAAACTGAAGCAGTAACATTACACTAAAGCATCTACTGGTGCTTAGCTATGCAGTAAAGCAACTGTCCAGAACTGGGAATAGCAGTAGACAGTCCTGAGCCACCACCCTTCAGATTGTGATGCCACCAATGGTAATTTGATTTGAGGAGATAGAAATCAAATCCAAATTCCTGCTCTGCTGAAAGCTCTAGTGGGCCATAAAGTATTCAAACAGCCTCTGATCAGGCAGGTGGCTGACCAGCTCTGCTCAAGCAAAAAGGTCTCTTCCACTTGAGTAAGGGATTTTATCAAATGGTTGTTGTAGGAAAGCCCTTGCTCTCTGGATAAGAAATTCTGAAATAATTTTCATATCAAATACATTCAATTCTACTTCCTGAGGACTCCAGTACTGTCTCTTTCCCAGACACACAGAAATATTTTCTTTGCTGCTTTTTCCAGTCACTTAAAGTGCACAGCCCATTTTTATTCAGAAGTTGAAACACAGGCATCTGGGGAGGTGAGGGATGGTTAGAACTCCAGCACGAACCTTGTTCATATCTCAGAGACTCTATAGAATTAAAGGAGAGGCAGGCAGGAGGCTAAACTGTTTATTCTTTTTCTTCTCCCATTAGACTCCTAAAGGTTCCTGTTTGGAGTCAGTGAAGATTGCCATTGATACTGGTTACCGTCATATTGACGGTGCCTTTGTTTACTACAATGAGCATGAAGTGGGGCAAGCCATCCGTGAGAAGATTGCTGAAGGAAGGATCAAGCGGGAAGACATTTTTTACTGTGGCAAGGTGAGAAGCTGCTTTCAGATTATTTACACTAAGTCAATGATTTCTGTGAATGTGCTTTCTTAAGAATGCCAGTGGTCAACATCTGGCATACTTCCAGATCCAACATCCTTTATTTTTCTTTCGTAGCATTACCATAATACTGCAAAGCTTTAAGAGAACTAGATTTGCTGTAAAGCACAGGAATCACTGTCTTTTTCAGTTTAAAGCTCTGTTAGCAATGGAAATCACACAACATCCATTCTGCCTGGTAGCTTAGGTACCTGCAAGTTTAGACCATTGCTACGCTCAGCGGTACTTCCGAAGCTGTTATTGTCCCATGTGTTTTGCTGGCAAGCACATTTATATAGTCAGACACCGGGCCTGATATGGTCAATGATCTGGCAAATAAGTTATTTTCTGTTAGAGTAATTCCCCGTACAGTTTTGCCATGATATTGCACAATGAAAGGGGTGGGAGCAAGCAAGTGTCTGTGTACTGGTAGAACAGCAAGTACTTACATTGGTACTATTGCCAGAAAATTACTCATCAAGCTACACCCTTAGTTACTGTATCACCTGTCATTAAAAAGTTCTAGGAGATGAATCGACATACTTGGAGAGAAGATGTCATCATACTTCTGCTCTAGAGCAACAAGGCCAAAGTAACGCATGACCTAGTTAATACTTTAAAGTCTTGGCTGTAAGAGTTGATTCTCCCCTAGAAGAATGAAAGCTTTTGTCAGACACTTCCTTCAGACAAGGGATGCTACAACTGCAAAGACTATCCCAGGTTTAAGTGAGAAAGCTCATTGTATATTGCAGAATAAAGATCAGATGGCCTCAGAAAATTTTGTCCAGTTTTTAATGGAGTCTATGGCTTCAAGTCCCCCTTCCTTCAGTGCTTCTTTGAACATATCAACGTAATATATTTACATTTCTCCTTTCCCAAATAAGACATCATCCACAAAAGTTATTCAACAACCTTGGAAGTAACTACCATGGTTCCTAGGGTGAAAGATACCATGGGATAAAAGGCCCATTTTACTGTGAGCAATTTAGTTAAGCTCTATGATCCGAGAAACTAAGCTTCAGATTGGGTAGCTTACAGACCGAGTGGATTTTCAGCAGCTGTAGACCAATTTCCAAGTACAGCGATTTCCAATCTGTAAAGTATGCAACTCTTTTTCCAAGTTCCCTGCTTGGGTCTAGTAGTAAGAACTTTGCCATCCTAAGAAAAGCTTCATGTCCTCAAATTTTCCGCCTTTATCAGGGTAGTCTCTCATATGCCAAATATGTTGATTTGGATCAGTTGAAATACTTTGTTTCAAATGTTTTATAGTTTCATTACTGCAAATTACCAGCAATATTCCAAATCAAAAACACGGAGTTGTGCCAAAAGGTTAGAACCAGATGTCCTAACAATTTTGAACCTTTTAACTTTCCCAACAGCTTCCCCTGCAGTTTATTTTCCCATATAAACCTCTAGGTTCTGTGAAAGCACATCTCTTTGTAAAGTTTCCAAACTTATTTTATTACATCTTTCTATGTTCAGTTGTCTGATCTAATCACTAGAGTATTTTCCTAGTTGATAATCACTACTTAAACACTGAGCCATCTATGAAACTACATTTGATTTCTTGATTCTAAGTTCAGTTGCTCCCTAAACTGCGGATCCTGCAAGCCCCAGGGCTGCAACATGCAATATCACAAGAGTCAGTGCCTGTAGTTCCAGCCTGCCTTGTGACTCTGAGATGGGACATGTGGATTTATCTTTCTGTTGTGTCCTACTAGTGCTTGGCAAAACTTCAAGTGCTTAGGGTGATCATTCATTAGATCATCTCTGCAGCCTTTAAAGACTTTAAAGGCAGAAGTGCTAAATATTCTGCAACCAATTCAATCCATTGCAAGCCAGAATTTTCACAGGTTTCAGTGAACATTTTCACAGCAGTTCTGAACTTCCCAGGAGGAATGGGACTGGATACCCCTAGCCTTATGAGCTTTTGAATCTTTAGCTTTAGGTACCTCACAAACTTGAGAGTTACAGACAAGTATCAAGCCACTGGTATATACCTCAGCCACTGATGGGTAACTGACTGATACAAACTGTTGCATCTTCTAGGAAACATGGTAGTTACAGCAGACCACTCTCAGAAGCAGTCTGCACAACAGAAGCTGGTTTTGATTTCAGCCTTGCTGACCCCAAAAGCACTGGCAATTCCCAAGACTTTTCAGACTGAAGCCCCTCATGCAGATCTTCCCTTAAGCAAAGATGATGCTTTGGCCTCAACAGGAGACTGGGCCATTAGCAGGGACTAACAAGAACAGCCCCGCTGAGTGGCAGTGTTACTGGAGTAGTGGCTTGGTGCATTCGTGCTACATCTGCCAGTTGAAATCATCAGCACTTGCACTTGGCTCTTGTTGCTGCCTGGCTGATCAGGCACAGCAGCTCAGCATCCAGAAATTTTAGAGGTTTTATATCAGCTGCCAACATCTCACTTGGCTTATATTGCAAGACCTTTTTCGTCTACTCTTTCATCCCAAGATATTTCTTTCATTAAACTAGAAGTAACATTTCCAGGAAACGTGGTGTCCTGAAATGCCAAAGCCAGCTGGCAGCTTTGACTGCTCAAACATCTACATGGGTTCTACTTAGGTAGATAATACAATAACTTGTAAAAATCATGAAAACAGTTATGAAACTCTTAAGTTTCCATGGCATCTACGTATTAACATAGTACAAATGTTTGCTATTTCTAAAGGCTGTTTCTTTAGAACTTCTGCTGTTTTTTCAAGGGAAGTATATTCACTGGCAAAGGCTGAGCTCAATAACACTGGGGTAGAAAGGGAGCTCGGAAAAACTGCTTCTAGACTATCAACATACCTCAGGTTACTAAATTTCCAAAACACAGTAATGAAACAAAATAAACATGAAGAGTATACAGACTCATTTCCTTAGTTATATTCAGGTCCATCTCATTTTACATATAAACTGCTTAAAAACCACCCAGACTGAAGGCTTTCAGGAAATCCACTGGAACAGCTTAAAACTCTGAGAGCAAGATCTTGGTCCCTTTACTGTAGCACACCTCAGCCTGTGTAACCACAATCTAGTGATCACAGTCTTCACATCTTGCGACACACAACTGGGGAAGGTCTGGTATGAATTTCCAGGTGCCAAACCCTGTTTTGGTTTGTCAGCTTAGGGCAGGGTCAAATGTGCTGCGCTCAACACAACTGAACTTCAAGATATCTGCTGGCAGAACTGAGCAGATTGTTTCCCTGTGAAATAACTATAATATGGTCTAAAAAAAGACCAAACACCTAAAATGCTTTAAAGCTCACCTCGGCTATATTGTTTGTCACCTGTAATCAGTATCTTCCCCTGAAAATGGCAATACAAGTGTTTTGTGCCTCAAGAACCAATTCATTCTACTCCTTGGCATGCAGTGACTGTCAGTTTTCGTGGCAGACCTGGTTAGACAATGACCATACCAACAAACTGAAAATTTTTCCAGCTAATAAAGGTGCCACAAACCTCAACATGACTCCTCATGTCAGTTTTGTGCATTGAAAAAAAGGTGAAATAGCCCAGATTATTGTGTGCAGACAAATAGCACTTCAAACCTTCCCTTTTGTGTTAATTCTGGGTTTTGTCGATATTAACTACAGCAATCCACTTACAAAGAGCTCTTGGTTACTAATCACCACGCTATGGTTTTATTCTTACAAGAGATTTGCACCAGCAGAGTTCAGCTACAGATAGTACTAAAAGCTCATCAACTAAGCACACTCCATAGCAACATCAGGGCATAACCCTGCAAGGAAGCAGTTGTCATTAAAGAGGTTGAAAAGGCTCTAACTAGTCACACCTGCATTGCAGTAACTAAACATTACACATCTTTCAGTGAGGACCAGGGAATAAATTGAAACTTCCCTAGATCAGGCAGTCACTCAGGCTCCACAGCCACAGGAGAAAACCAAAAGATTGTCTTTGTGCTGGGTGCTTGGCTGTTCAACAGCTAACTCACATGGTCTAAACTTCTGCCTTCAAGCATAAAACTGACCACAGATTTCTTGTGGAACAAAGTTTTCCAGTGAAAGCATATGCTTGGAAAGCTCAGAAAACAAAAGGAATCTGTCTAAGATCATTGAGCAAGAGTTTGCAATAAACTCAACTCAGAAGATCCTGTGTTGTAACAAACAAATATGCATGTCTTTACTGTGACAGTCCTGGGCAAGGATTTCTGTCTTAACTTCTACACCTGCCAGGATAAGTCCCCTCACCTCACCTTTGTCTTGTGCTGATATAGACCACAAAGTCTTTGCACACAGAAGGATGAGAGTGTGTGAGGGGTGGTTCAGCTAAAGGATGCTCACTGTTCCTCCTGGCACCCAGAAAAGAACCTTTGCTTGCTTCCCCAGCTGTGGAATACCTGTCACCCCCCAGAGCTGGTGCGTCCCACGCTGGAGAAAACCCTGAAGATCCTGCAGCTGGACTATGTTGACCTCTACATCATTGAGCTGCCAATGGCTTTCAAGGTAAAAAGAAAAACTGACCAAAGAAAGTGCACAATTGGCTTCAACCGAGGCCTCCATCTAGCATCTTCTTGCAACTTACAGTCCATGTTTAAAATAGCATTTTGGACAGATAATTGATATATACTGCATACGTACATTTCTGCGCACTACCCACACAGGGAGGCTTATAGGTGGTGTGAGAACAGTTACTGACAGCTGTTGCATGGGGTCTCTCCACTGGAAGGACAGTTCTAACTGGGGTTGAACACTTCCTACATTGACAAATTACTGTATCTGAGTACTGAAGCAGCACATATGTCTTGATCCTGAGCCATGAGGAGGGAGTCACTTATGGAAAGTGGTTATACAAAACAGCAAAGGGATATGGGCAAAATTTAGAGCGGGGCAAGGGAAAGGGGAAAAAGCCATCAAGTTGATTTCTTTACTCTGTCCCAAACCCAAACAGTTTCAGTAGTAATAAAGCCACTGGGCAAATTGTAGTTATAATCTTAATCTCCTTAAACTCCAGTGCTCCTCTTGGACAGCTTCAGTAGACCACAGATGGTCCCAAACACAGGTTGTCCATCTCTCACTCCTAAAAGCTAAAGCCTGATATTCCTTCATGCTGCTGGTTCTTGGCAGCTTGTAGCCAAAACCTTTAAATGAAAGGAGCTCACATCAGAGTTGTATGCCTCTTTTGCAACGAGCTCTTGCAGGTCCTAAAAGTTTCTGGTTTCATGGGCTTTTGTACCTTGTTTTACAGTTTTCCTCTGCAACTGAGTGATATAAAGGCAAACTAAATAATACTGCAATTAGAAGAATGAGATTCAAAACATATTTAAGTGGCTTTGAACCAATTAAATCCTTTTCTTAGAGAGAACAGGGTCAGGCAATTAGATGGCTAATTGTTTCTGAGGAGCGTTTAAGCTGTAAACTGGCCTCTTTCTGCAAGAAAGGTAGTTCTCTGGTTATTAGAATTATATTTTGCTACAGACTCCAAACTGCCAGAAGCACCACGTAGGAAGCAATTTACCAATGAAACAATCGCTTTCGACCTACAGTTCTTTCTTCCCCAAGGAAGCCCTATCCCATTAAGACCTGTATAGAAGTGACTGGACTCAGATATTAAAACTTCATTTATATGGTCCCACGTATGGAATCCTTTTGGGTACATTTTTAAAGATTTCCCACCACTTGCAATTTCCTGTTTCCCTTTGCTTGTGTTTGTATTCTCTAGTAGTTCATTCTCCCACATAGCGAAGGTTATTGTCTCACAATATAAAAGTATAGACAGCTGGCTTTAAAGTAATGTACATCTGACTCCCTGAGGCCTGTATCAACAATCTGAGTTGTTAAAGGAGTATCAGTCCTAGAGATTCATGCATGTCCCCCATGAGAATGGAGAAAAAAAGAAGCCACTTGCTGCCTGAAAAATAGACATTTTTCTGTGTCAAATACAGAAACAGAAAAACCTCACACTTTTGCAGTGGTGACAGGTTTTCTTTCTTTGCTCCCTCACTCTCAGACACACCCATCTTGCATGCGATGCTTGCCTTTGGTGAGGAGTGTGCAGGTGTAACACTAACAAAATCCTGCTCTGCCCTAGCCTGCAGATGTTGGTGCTTTACTGTCGCCCCAAATGCCTTCTAGTGAAAGCAGTCACTGCTTGAAACTGGTGAAGTACCCAAGGCAAAACTTACAGACTCTGAAACCAGTAAGAAACATGCCCCTGCAGAGCCCAGCAATGCAAGCTGTTATAGGGGCTTTTAGGCTGAGTGAGAGGAATCTGTTTTCAGAGGACACCACTCAGAGGAGGAAAGCCCCACCATGCCAGCACTTTTAGGTGGACCAAGAATGGCTGACATCTGGGGTGACATTATTCACTGACCTACCAGCATTAGCCCACACCTCCCTGTATTTTTTCCCTTACTCAGATTCCCTGTTCAGGACTTCTGTCCTTCCTCCATTTAGCCCAAAAGTGGTGCTTAGCACTTCTACCCTAGCAAAACAGGTGACCAGCAGGAACAGGTCTCCTCCAGGACACTATGTGCCCTCTGCCTGAGGAGATCATACCCAACGGGAGGTTTTCTACTGGTTTCTGCTCAGATGACTGATCCATCATTCAATGGATCAGTCAAATGATCTCCAAATCCTTCCCAACTAAATTATTCTGTGATCTAGTGGGAAAGCAGGTATTTTAGCCTTATATTGACCAAGTCTCATCCAAGTATCTTCTTGTCGTTTTAAGAAAATAAATCAGAACAAAACAATGACCTCACTATTTGACTTCCTATTGCCTTCTGTTTATGCAACAGGAATTCACAAGTTGTTAAAATTGCTCTCTTGAGAAAGCCTGCTTGTCAAAGACCATTTTGTGAAAGTCATGGGATGTGCAGACCTGTGTGGGTGAGGAAATTATTATAATGGGAGCAAGGCTTTTCCTCTCAGAGGTTACCAAGTTCAGTGTTTTAAATATTCAAGTTGTCTGGTCGCATTTGGAGTGCCTCCAGACTTTGAACATGACATGATACAACATGATCCCTGCATAGTGGCAGTGATGTATGGTGTTGCCCCACTTATTTCAGTGCTCATATGGCAGCATGTAGGCAGCCACCTTACATTTAGTCTAAAGTGTGTGGCTATCTCCAAGGGAACTGTGAGAGAAGAACTGGTGCAGTGTAGTCCATGAGAACCCAAAGCTGAGAAATGTGACCTTTACAAAGACCTGGTAACCACCATCCTGTAACCATCAAAACACTACCTTTCTCTCAGCATTTTATTCCTCTTTATCCATCTGAAAACAGTTATTCCATTCAGGAACTCACTCGTATAAAAAGGTAGTCTGGCAGAGAAAATATTGCCTGGAGACTATTGAGCAGAGACACCTGTACTTCAACACCTTGTATAGTCCACTAGAGGCAGGACAAAGGATTGATCCTTTCAGAAACCTACAATAGCTGCCACCACTTAGCTCAGTCAAGATAATTTAATCTTCAAGCACTGTTTATTTTGACTTTGTTCACTTTTTAGAACACAAGTGATAGAAGTAGAGGAAAATGGGGGCATGATAAAGCAGCTAATGTAATTGCTGTGTATTAACTACTACAAAAATAATGTTGAATGGAAGTTAATGAGTTAAAAGTGGATCAGAGTAAAAAGGTCTTGAATTCAGACTCACCTCCTGAACTCAGGAGGTTTCTTAACCTAGCTGCTATGCACTGAACTTGCAGTCATTGGAGAGTCTGCTAGGATATCATGGGGATGAGCGGTTGCTTCCGTAACACCATGGGGTGGTTTTGTTAATAGGGCTTCTCCACCCCAAGTTATGATGGTGGTTTGTCTTCCAACAGAAAAAAAATTACCCAACAGCTATCTACCTCCTCCTAGTAATGACTTCATTTTCTTTTTTCCAGCAAGACACAGCAACAAAGGCAACAAGTTGTCTTTGTGAAATTCATTGAGAAAAAACAGCACACTTGGAGGAGACAGGCTTATGCCTGTAACTTAGACCTTGGCCTCTGAAATCTGAGGCTGTGTTTTTCTTAGGCTCACTTTTCCCATGAAATGCATTGAGTTTGAACTTGACTGAATTTGGAGGCACCAGTTATGGATCATATTAGTCACAGCTGCATGTTCCCAAGGAGCTACCATGTCAACATCTTATACCCAGGCCTTTGAAGTGTAGCAGTTTGCAGTCAGATCAAATGTCAAACATCACTGAAGAGTTTTTATGAAAAAAAGGTGAAATTGTGATCAGACAAAAGGGTGGGGGAGGTGTTAATGCATTGCCTGCAACAACAGCAAAGTGACCAGCAAGCAAGGGAAAGCTGTGCTCATGAGATATCAGCTCATAACTCATCTCTGAAGCTTTGTTCGTGGGGTATAGAGATAGGAAGAAAGAGTTTCTAGTGCCCAAAGAAAGGTGGAGAGTGCACTTAAAAGGTTCACAGCCTGTACTATAGCTACACATGTACTAGTAGAAAAGGGCTCTTGGAAAAGGTCCCTCCAACTATTGGGAGGTGCACTAAGCTGGTACTCTTCCCGGGTGGCTAAGCAGGACCAGAGGAAGGGCTGGGAAGAAAGGAGGAAAGACAAGAATACAGGTTGGTACTCTAACCCAGTCCTTTGGAAGGAGACTAGTCCGTTGGATGCCATAACATAAAGTTTATTGAAAAACAAGGCCATCCGGGAACTTCTGAGTATGCACTCATGTGAACTGTATCCAAGGATGATCTAGCAGTTGGGCATGTGGTAAGCCCAGCACAAATGACCTGATGAACTTCTGGTGTTTCAGAAAACTTTTGTTGTTGTTGTTTGCTAGTAGAAACAGAGTCTCTGGAAAAATCTTTGCTTTTTTTCTTTAAAGCACAGAAATGTGGTTTTACTTTTCAGCCTGGAGATGCAATCTACCCAAAAGATGAAAATGGAAAAATTATCTACCATGAGACAGACTTATGTGCCACTTGGGAGGTAAGCAAACACTACATCCATACAGAAATGCTTTAAAACCACAGATCTTCATCCTCAACTTTCCTTGTGGCCTTCATCAATAATGCTGAGGCATATTGACAAGGCAAATGGATCAAATTCTACTAGGTCCATGGAGAAATTTTACTCCTGTGGAAGTATGGGTGTTGGTTCTTGCCATCACTTAATCATTTTTATAACAAAATAAAGAATTGAAAGAAGGAATGTGGATGTCAGATATTTCAATAGAGTGCACTCTACATTCACTAGTTGAGGTATCTGTCTCCTCTATCAGATCTTTACAGAAGAAGAAAGTCACTAAGTGACTGGATCCTTCTCAAGAAAAGGAAGTTTTTCACCTTCAAGAAAAAAAAAAGATTTTGCCCTAAAGCTAACCATAAAAAAAACCCAAACCCAAAATGCACAAAAACACCTAATAACAAAACCTAAACCCCTTGCCATCAGAAGTTCACTCACTTCTAAATTCTATTATCAAATGAGAACACAAGGTTTTTCTGCTAAGAAAACTTGGAGGGGAGTAGCATTTGCCTGAAAGGTTGCACCCTGAATTCATTTGTCCTGCACTCTAGTCCTATAACCAGATGTTTCCTTAAGCCTACTGCCACTTGGCTTCAGAATCTCATGTGAGGCAGAGAGTGAGATTAGTAACCTCCTCACATTCCTGCCTTTTGAAGCCTTTGATTCACTTTAACTCATGGCCAAAGCTGGTCAGCTCTCCATCTGCACCAGGCTTGCTTCAAAAGCACCACTAATTCAGCCCACTTCAAGAGAGGTAACATGGGCTACTGCACACTCCACTTCAGCTTGCACCATCTAGAGCTGGACAGTTGTGCCCCAGTTTAACTGTACTTGATGTGCAGCAGATAAAGATGGAGAATGGTGAATTTCTGAGAGAAAGTTCAGAGAGGGAGCGTGCCAGGGGCAGACTTGGGCTTTCCCCTGGCAGCTGAGCCACCCAGGCTGCATCTCAGGGGGAATGGGGACTTCCATATTAGCTGTTTATGTTACCCTTGTCTTCGGCTGATGCAGTTCATTCCTCTCTTTCACAGGCTAGCTGCTCAAATATTGAAAGCAATAGTTGTTCGGACACTGTTATGTTTTTATGTTCAAGCTAGTGCTTATTGCAAAGAATATACTGTAGCAGGCTGCTCTCTTCAGCTAATAAGCCAAGAGAAAAATAGGCGGTAGTGAGTACCTCCAAGTAACAGCATCAATCTAAATAAAACCGGCTAAACTCAATCCAGATAATTTCACTCTCTCAGTATGGTGCTAGCAGGCAAAAATGGCTCCAGATGACTGTATTTGCTGACTTGTCACCAAGTGATACAAAGCATATGAGGCCAAGTAGAGGTCATCAAATACATGGTGCCTCCTACCTCCCTGCTTTCAGCTCCTGTGAGACAGAAAGGAGTAACAAAACCAGCAGGAGGGGCATCCAGCTCCACAGTGGGGTCTGCTCTGTCTCAGTCACTGAATTATTCGTGTGCAGACTTTCTGGGAGCAAAGTGGGAGACCATAGGAAAGGAACCTCTTTCCTCTTAACAGCCCAGCTGATGAAGCTGATGAAGACCAGGGCATGTGTTCATATCCAGTATTTGCAAGGCTATTATAATTTGTCTGAAGTGTAGAATATCTAGAATTCCTCTCTCCCTTTATTTTTCTTTTCCCCTCTCTACTTTATACTGTACTGAAATTTTCTGTGCTGGTTTTGTAATGTGCCTTGCCAGATATTTAGGGGATTTCACTGGATAGAGACTTCATATGAAAAACTGTTGTACAATCAAAAGGAATAAATTGACTTATCAGGAAAGCAATCTGTTTTGTTCACTCTCCCTTCTCCAGCTTTGAGGCAATACTAAAGCAGCATGAAGTAAGAAAACTCTCTGAAAACAGATGTCTGGCACTTACCTATCTGTATCTCAGATTAATCTTTCTGCTCTCCAAACAAATTTTACGTTTACAGGAGGTACAAAATATTAGGGTTTGGCCTGGAAACAGGTCTACATGGGAACAGAATTTAGAATTGCAGGATGGTACCAGCCCTTTATGGTAACAGAGCAGTTAGTTCTGCTGCAGCAAAGGTTTGTCTGCAGTCTCAAGGATGGTCTATATTCCACCTATCTCTAAAACATATGCTCCAAGAAATCAAGCTAACATGTAGGACTACACTGGTCTTTGCTTTCTTTGCAGGCTATGGAAGCATGTAAAGATGCAGGCTTGGCAAAGTCTATTGGAGTATCCAATTTCAATCGCAGGCAGCTGGAGATGATCCTGAACAAGCCAGGACTTAAGTACAAACCTGTCAGCAACCAGGTATGACTGCAAGCCAAGGGCAGTGCCTGCTATTGTGCCGCTGCCCTGTAGGGAATGCAGAGGTGCGTACAGCCTAAGCCACCATGTGCAGAAAGGTGACATACACTTTGCCACAGATGCTGCCCTCTATACTGGCACACTTCCATTTCTAGCTTGAAAAGTATTACTCATCCTATCTAGGTTAAAGATAAATATGTGAAGGTGCTGAAACAATCGTTCTCCTCTGTTCCCGCTCCAGGACTATTGAACTGGTGCCTTTGTGCCAAAGCTCCATAACAACGTTTAATTTTGAGTCAATGCAGATCTTAAATAATTTCTATGTAACTTACTTCAAGTCCAAAAAATTCCCAAGACAAACCATGCAGAGCTAACCAGTCCTCAATGAAGCCATGTCTACCTCAGCCGACAGCAAACCAAAACAACCTTAAGTATCAGGGATCCTGAGTCCTTTGAAAGCTCCTTAACTTTCAAAGCCATTAGAAGTAACTCCTAAATTCCCTGTACTTGCTCTCTTGTGCCTTTCCTTTAAGACATAAGCAAGAGCTAGAGAAAAAATGAAATTAAAGTGGAGACCTCAAGCAACTGATGTGAGCTGAACAAGCCCATGAAGATGGCAGGCATATTCAAGTTAAATTACCTCAGCAGGGCTCAGAGGAGGCTGTAAGTGGCAGTGACCCATCTGAATGCCCAATATCTTTGGCTCTGGTGTTTTGCAGGTCACTGCATTTCCTAGAAATCACTGGGAAGCTCTTCTGACTCATCTGGCACAAATGAATATCCACATTAGCAGTATCAGAGAAGAGGCCAGAGACCAACTGGGACCAAATTCCCACCCTCGGCATGTGGCCTGGAGAGCTGGGATTGACTCGAGACAGGGCAGGGATGCTGGCCATGGCCTCCATTTCTGTCTTTGGCCTTCAGGAAAAGGCAGCCTGTGAAAGGAGGAAATTCCAGCACCCTTCACTGGTATTAACATGCCCAGTGGGTACAAAATGTAATTGTCGTTTCTGGCATGCCCCTAAGACCACACTGGGCATTGCTGCTGCTTCCTGGGTCAAGGAAAACCAGTCAGAAGATTAAGCCCATCTTAGGGCAGCTAGCTGGCAAGCAAGCACAGATGTGCCAACTAACTTCAGATGGCCTGCAAACAGTGGTTGCATTGTCACCTTGTAGATGTCCCTTTCCCAGAGACTGAGAACACACCAGAAAATCCCTGCCTGTAAGGCAACAGTATTTGCAATGTGAGAGGGCAAAGCTTGTACCAAGGTCATAACCATCACTTTTCTATCTGGGGCAGCTTATGCCAACACTTCCCCTAACACCAACATCAGATTAGTCATCCCGAATGTAAGAGGTAGAGAAACAAAGACTTGGCCCACATGAGACAGGTTGCCTTCTCAGCCTACTTCTCTAGTGACCCCCCCTCACCTCCATCCCCCCCAGCTATTGCAACCTTTCCACTAGGGGCCAATAAAAATTCCTTGCAGCCAAATTACAATCACAGATGTTGATCTGCTGTCCATCAAAAACCAACCAAAGAAAAAACAAACAAAAAAACCACACACACAAAAAAACCCAAACCAAACCAAACCCATCACCCAGCAATGTACAATTAGAGCAATAATCACAGATTGAGTTTCCCTAATCCTTAACATCTGTCCTTTCCTGAAAAGATCACCTGGTCTGTAGCTCTCACAAATACTGAAACACCATCTGCTTCTGTATCTGGTCCTGTTGATTAATCATTCTTTCTACATTACTCTTGTAGGTTGAATGCCATCCCTATTTCACTCAACCCAAGCTCTTAGAATTTTGCAGACAACATGACATTGTTATTGTTGGGTACAGCCCATTGGGAACATCCAGGGATGAAACATGGTAAGTCCCCATGTTACTTTCTAATAGAAGGACAATAACCAGGAAAAGAATAATAGTTCTCTACTGCTGGGTCTCTGTGCAAAATTACTTTTTCCCTATTTTTCAAAGTAGTTTTGAATTCAGTATCTAAATATTACTGTTGTGAATGTAAACTGCAAAACTTCTGCTGCATGCTGTTATCAAAAAATACCAGGTGCCTGTACAGGAGGTCACCTTAGGTCTTTTCTAACAGAAAGCAAGTGCCTAACTGGGAATCTTGAGGCTTAAGTGAGGAAGTAGAAACTAAGTCAACGTTAGGACATGACATACGAAGTTGCCTTTGACAGCCCTCCAATTTAAATGCCAGAGCTTTTTGCCCATCTCGCATATTACTTGTCAAAAAGGTGCAGCATTTTGTCCACAAACAGGTAAATGCCTCTATGCTTTGACATTAAAGATAAAGTTTTTTATTTTCTTTTTTTTGTTCCAACTTTCTTCCAGGGTAAATGTGTCCTCCCCTCCTTTACTGAAGGATCCTGTGCTGAATGCCATTGGCAAAAAGTACAGTAAGACAGCTGCGCAGGTTGCTTTGCGTTTCAGCATCCAGAGAGGGGTGGTGGTAATCCCAAAAAGCTTCAATCCACAACGCATCAGAGAGAATTTCCAGGTAAATTTGTATTTCAATGGTGCATGGATGAATCCACTTACATTGGCTTAGCCCTCACAGAAGGTGATTTCCCCATTTCTTTCTGTAGGCTTGACCAATGTCAGGCTTTGCCACATTTGATGCTTTTTGTCCCCATCACTTAATGGTACCATGCTATGACAGTAATTGAGTGGAGAGGAAATTTTGGTGTCTTTTAACCCTCTGGAGTAGCTAAAGTTCCAGCTGGTGGTGTATCTCAGAGCACCAGTTACTGCAATGAGCAGCACAGGTGAGTTGCAGTAATTCAGTAGAGCAAGGTTGCTGGCTGTAGGTGTTCAGTAATGACTGACTTGTTCTGCCCAATCTTCAGGTTTGGGGCAGCTACGTTAGGGAAGGGTTGCTGCATGCAGGTGTGCCAGAAAGGCTCATAACCACACCACCAGAAAACATCTGGCTTGACCACTACACTCGAAAAAGATGAAGAATTCATTCCTGTCACCCTTGCAGCATTCAGTACCCACACTGCTCCCCATTTTCTCTGCCAATGTATTGCTTTCGAAGCTGGTGACCCAGTGCTTGCTGGACTACCTTTCTCTTCTTGCAAGAGTGTAAGCAAATGGGACTGGACTTACTCATGTTCTCAAGACTTTCCTATAAATGCAAGCAAATATAGTTTTGTAGGGGAAAGAGGGAGGAGGGGGCACTGTAATTCTGAAATCTGGAACGTATGAATGTTGATTATGACAAGAAATGCAAACTTACTCCTAACATCTCCTTCCATTAGATCTTTGACTTCTCCCTCACTGAAAAAGAGATGAAAGAAATTGAAGCCCTGAACAAAAACGTTCGTTATGTGGAACTGCTAATGTAAGTCCAGGAGGAATCCTAGATCCTCACAGAACATTCCTGTCTTTTCAGAGGACTAAAAATAAAGATCACTTCCTTTCAAAATAAGGTTGTTTATTAAAAAAAAAAAAAACCACAACCTAATAATCAAGGTAAGGCTTAACTGTGGGAGGACTTTAATGCAGCCTCAATATGCTCCTGGAGCCATTGCAAAAATAAGTGTGCAATACTTGCTCACAGCTCGTGTCTAAAGCCCACCTACTAGAAAGTGACTATATCTGGCTATTCCATCTCCAATCCACCTCCTTAAACACTTGCTGCGGTATGTTGGAATGACAGTCTCAGCCACTGACAAAGTATAGCATTACCCCTGTCTAGCAGTGTGGATATCAGAGCTGAAATTCAAATAGGAGCACTTTCTTATCTTTCCCCTCCTTCTCACCTTCACTTCCAGTGCTCAGCAAGCCATGGTGCTTCTCAAGTACAATTGTTTATAGATTGTAAGCCTACTGTTTCTAGAGGCAACTTGTTCTAAATTACCATGTGGAAAGCTAAAAGTGAAGTACACTGCTACAGATAGCCACAGGGTTAGTTTAGGGAGAGCTCTGCTCTTTCTCACCTAATACTTTGGTCAGAGCATCAGAATTTGCCTACACAACTTTCTCATTAAAGACAATAGATCTCAGTGACCACAAGTTGTCAGAAACTTTGTTTCAGCCTTTTCTCTGACACCATCTTCTTCAGCAATCTCCCTTTCCTGCTGTCATGTTGAGTTGCACCTTCTTATATAGAAAGCAGAAAACCATGTAGCTTGTTTGACTGGTAGATGACTTCCCAATTATCCCTGAGAACTAATAAGGCTTGACCTTTGCTGTTTGTGATCTAAAGCTTACTACTGAATGTAGTTTTGCTTCACCATCCCAGAAGGCTCAGTCTGACCCAGCACTTCCTCTTCCAGAGAATGAGTCCATTTGTTTTTCCTTCAGCTCAAGAGCATCTAAAGTTTATGGCCAAACTTTATGCTTTCCCCCTTTCAGGGCACTCAATGTGTAACCAAATGCTAGAGATTCATTTCCATGCATTTCTCTTGGATTATCAGCGTCTTGACAAACTGTAGTGTGCTCAAGCACTAAAAATAATGAAAAGTAGGATAGCGGCATCAATAGCACTCTAAAATGTACACCACTGCTCAAAAGAGGAGAGAAATATTGCAAAGGAACAAATAAACCACTTACTGTGCTATTACATACGATAGGAAATATGAACTAAGTTAAAAGCATCATAATGGAGTTAGTCTTTCACATTTAAGCTTAGCCAGGTGCTCTGAAGCTTTAGTTTCTTAACACTGAAAATAGCCTTCCATCAATTAGCAGCACTTTGGTTCCAGAAGGCTTCTTACAAATGGCCTAGCAGATGGTTATGTGTGTTTTGGTATTTGAAATGGTTTGGTTTTTCATAGCTAAGTTAAGCTATAAACACCATTTAAACTTTTAGTGGGTATACACACAAAACGTAACCTTGGTACAAATCCAAGAGCCTTTTTTCAGAATACAAAATTAAAGGATGTAAATGCCCACAAGAGAAGAACTTTCTAAGCCACCTAATAAACTAAATGCTTTACTTTATTCGACTTAATTTGATCATAGGAGGCCACTGAGGACAAGGAAAACAAGAGGCATAGGATGGTCGTTGCCAGCTCTATTTTTCACAGGAATGTCATGTTTGGGGAAAATGGTTATATACAGTCTGACCTCAGCTGTGAAAAATGCCTTCTTAGAAAAGTGATGTTGCCATGCAAAGAGCAGCTAAACATATATCTGCCCACTATGTCTTCTCACACTACAGTGTCTGGAATTGACACTGCAACAGATGACTTACCAGCCTAAGGAGAGTTCTTATTTCATCCAGCAATATGTATCTGAAAAGTCAAACCATCGTACAGAAGGAATTCTGGTTAGTCAACTTTGTGCAAAACCTTCAGCTGCTGTGATTGGAATGGAAAAATCTAGCTTTCCCTCTGGCTTTTCCAGTTATCAGCTACCATGGGTACTGTGTGCAAATCGGTTGTTTGATGGCATGAGTAAGCCCATATGAACAGGATATTACAGTCATAAGGAATAAGTTAGCAAGTTAAGAATTGAGCAGAAAACAGAAGTTTTGTAAAAATATGAGTACTTCAGGAAGTGCCAGTCTGCAATGGTTTCTTCTCCTCTTGGAGCAATCCAGAAGTATTGTGCTGGGCAATTTTTGCATTAATCCATCTGCTTATCTTGTGCTTCTGGTCTCTGCTGTGGTCTCTGTTATTCTTCCTTACCAGTTATTCCAAGCTGCATTGACTCCTCTGAATACATCATTTTCACTCAAAGGGCTCAGACCTTTGAACATGTGAGATCTGATTAGCAAGCATGCTCCATAGATGGAAAGTAGAGATTATGACATTGGCAACTCAGACTTCATCAACTCACACTGAAACCAAACAAGCCAAAGTGTTGTGGCTTGTTTTTTTGAACCAGCTCAATCTGTTAATGTGTAAACACTTCAGCTTGGCTGAATATTGGAATGAAATGTTTTGACACAACCAATTCAAAATGGTTTATGTCTTCCAGTTAGTAAACTTCAATATTGTGAAATGTATCCTTCCCAAACTCCAACAATCCACAGCTGGGATAAATGCCAGTATTTGCTGTGCTCTGCTGTAAGGCAAAGCAGCCAGCTGCCATGGTACACCTGAGAATGCTCTTCAGACATTTTCACTTTTGCTAATGGAAAGTGTTTGTCAAGCCAGAGCTTGTGGTTTAGCATCATCTTCTCAAACAAACAACAAAACACACAACAAAACACAACCACCTCTCTCTCAAGTCTGCCAATAATGGGCAAACTGGGTTGGTTTTTTCCACCTGCAACCGACCCTGGGAATTTTATTCTTGCCTTTTATAGTGATCCTAGATCATGCATCTTCCCTGGGCATGCAGTTTTTGGGGTGAAGCCTGAAGCATCTCCACCTTAGGGTTGTTCATGTCTGCATGCCACCATTCTCTGCTAAATTGGGTCACCCCAAAGCTGTTTTGTAAATTCTCTGCCACTGATGCTATTAACCTGGCAGAGCATCTACATCTAGGCTGAGCTAGAGCACCACCAGATCTAGTCAAGATATGGCAGCCACTTTGAGAAATGCATCATATCAGACCCAGACCTGTTCATGCCAGCTCTAAGTGAATAAGCCAAAGTAGTACAGTCTGGTGTCTCCACCTGTCCTTCAAATACAGCCCTTATTTCTGAGGATCTTTCTAGGCATCTTCCTCTTCCACAATGCACACATAGTGAAGCTAAAACACTTCTAAATCCACTGAGTTAACTAGCAAGAATAGCTGACATCCAGTCTCTTGTTGTCTTTTCCCATCTGTCCTTAAGGTCTGTAGGCCTGAAAAATGGTCCTTCCTTATCCTTAATGCACAGGTTTGCTTCTGTGCAGGGAAGATCATTCAGAGCAGTCAGCTTCTGAATAAGCAGAAAAGCCTTCCATGAAGGCCATCTATATATTGCAAGGAAAAGGTTTGCCAGGCACAGGACAACTGCATCAGTGATGCGATATCCCACTTCAACCAGGCAGCTCATTTGTTCAATCTCACTTATCCACAGGTGGCGTGACCATCCAGAGTATCCCTTCAGTGACGAATACTGAAAACAAGGTGCATCTGGGAAGTTTCCAAACTTGGTGCCACTGGACATCGCTGAAAGAGACCCAATGTTTGGTGCTTTGACTTCATGGGAGACTGTTAAAATCGGCATTAAAAACATGACATTTACTTCCTCTTGTCTTGTCTGTCTGTTATTGCTACTGAAGGGCATATCTGTTTAACCTATTGAATTTCCTTTTTGGCTTAGGTGGTTTTACCTCTGAGATTGAAGCTTCAAAACTGACAGCTGATAAAACTGAGGATTTTTCTTTAAAAAAGGCTTACTAATTCAAATCAAATAATTTTCACTCAATGGCACCTGATTTGCTGCATTTTAAACAAGAAGTTCTGCTTCAGTAGATGTGAAGCAGTATCATTTTCTTTCACAGTTTAAGTGAGAGAAAGTTAGAAGAGGGGAACTAATTGTATATATATCAATACACAAACATGCATATAGATATATTCACTGCTTCATGCAGTGAAGCCTATTTCACTTTAACTGGAATATTCGTCAGCTGCATATATAGGCTTCATTCTGCAGCTACGCCCCAGCTGGCTCCACATGCAACTAGTTCAAGCTCTAACACACTATAAGCATGTTCATATCTCCCCCATCTCAGCTGATGACCTCAGTGAAACACAGGAGAGCGTATGACTATTTCATTTATATTTGAGCTGTCATAGGAGGATGATACTGCATAACATTGCATAAGCAACCTGGTGTCATCCTGGAGCTAACACTAAAAGAACCTCATCTCCTGATATTAAAAGCCCTTAAACTTCTTTCCTGTTCCACAAACTGATATTCACCAAAATAAATTTCAGTTCACTTCGAAATTCATATGATCATAGAATACCAAGTTCGAAAGCACCTCAAGGAGCATCTGGTCCAACATTTCCAGGCAAGGCATGACCTAGACTGAGCCTGTCTAGGCTTAAAAGTGTTAAAGAATTTTAACTTGAAATTCAATTTAAGTCTTTTTGAAGGAGTTTTGTATGAACTCCTGACCAAGACAACACTGAATTAGGAAAGTAAGTGTTAAAAGGAGGAGGAAGTCATATTTTGTTAAATACCACTTCCTACTGTATTTTTAGACTGCAGAACACCAGTAGGTCCAAGAAAGGGTAGGAATCTGACAGAAGCATCCAAGTTGGAATCGGGACATCTCCTTCAATCTGTGCTCAGCTCTTTGAAACATGGGCACAGAAGCATGAACACCAGAGTAAGAAAGACTAATTCCTTCAGAATTAATTTCTTTGTCAAACCACTTGTTTGCTCAACAAGTTTTGCAGCCTTCAGATGCATCAGCCTATACCCATATCTGCAGAAGGCTACTTTTTCCGTCCCTCCTGTGCCCAAGCACTCTAGCTTCCTGCCACAGAGGGGGACACTAGAGGTATTGGAGAAAAAATTGAACCATACACAGAGAGTGCTTCATGTCCTAAAACATGTGTTCTGCCACGGGTGGAAAATGGGTCACACACAAGCTTTAGTCTATAGCATTTGTTTTTATTTATTACTATTGCTATTTATTATCCCTGGAGTGACTGCAATGAGAAAATGCCACAGTATACAGTTCATGGAGGCACTTCTGTTAGGTCAGGATGTGCTCCTCAGAGCTGAGGCAAAAGGTATAGGGGCGATCACTTCACAGGAGGAAAAACAATGCTCCCAAATGGGTCTAGTGCAAACACACCCCTGGATGAGCTCAGTGGACAGCACTAGGTAAGTCAGACCTCTTCCAACAGTGGCGGCCTTCACACAGCATTTATAAATGCATTTATAAAACTATGTCAACAAAGGAGCTTTCTGCTTGCTGAAGGTTATTCAAGGGCAGTTGCCATTTTATTCTATTACCCACTTAGACCAGAGGGGGAAATAAAAATATGGGAGATGTGTAATTGAGGAGGAGGAGAACACATCATAAATCTGCTGAGTAGCCCCAAGGACTATCCTCAAGGTCAGGTGGAGCCTTGCTCCCAGGGGTGGTCAGAACCACTATCGCAGCCCTGCTTTGCCCCTCTGGAAACAGCTGAGTTCCTGGCCAAAAACCTGAACAAAATCCAAGTCTAAATTCAAGTGCCAGAGAGGAGGACACTTACCACCATACCTAATGTGTTATTCCAGTTGCTTCACAAGTACAAGCCCTAAATAGAGCAATCAGGGCTCAACTGCTTAACAGTAGCACTGTACAAATTTCTGCACTGTAACTCGACCGGGTGCAAGTCTCTGGCCATGGCCAACGTTCAAGCCGGGGTTGGCAACGCTCTTGTTTTCTACACTGCAAATGTCAACTAACGCTCAGCTTAAACGCTCACACCAGCCCCTTCACAGCTATCTGCTCTTTCCAGACATCCTCCCCGAGGTTAGGCAGCACCTGAGGTTCTCAGTCTTAAATCTGTACCAAGTTAACAGGCAAGATGGATTACGAGTTTCTCCAGCCCAAGTCATGCCAGCAAATTCCTCCCTGCTCCATGCTAATAGAGTCCTCCTTTGAATTGCCTCATTTGAATCTGATGAAAAGAAGAAAAAAAAAAAAAAAAAAAAAAGATTCAGCCTCTTCCCAGGGGCAGATGCTCCCATACTCGTTTCCATCAGTTACGAAACTACTACTGTCTAGCCTAGTTTTCCCCTCTGCTTTGCTCAGTTTCAGACCGTTGCTCCCCATTGTTCTCCATCTTGCCGAACACAGAACAGGTTTAGAGGAGGGTAAATAAATAGGCCTGTAGATGGGGGCTTGGGAAACACATTCCCCCACCAACTGTGCAAAGAGACAGAAAACCCCCAAAACTCAGCCGCACGTAAAATCTGCTTGCACCTAGCAAATCTCACCAGCTTGTTGAGGTCACTGCCTGGTGCAAAACATGTCACTTGGAAGCACCCCATACAGCCCTGCTCCAACTGGAAGAGTTAGGCATGGACAAAGTGGGGTCCAGCACCTCCTGCTCCAATAGCAATTTCACATGACAAGAATAGACCCAAACACATACTGGGAAAGCTTACTCACTTTTACTGTAAGTAACCTGAGTAGTTCGTACTCTTTCTGTAGCCACAAACTGAAATGAAACCCAGACCAAAGAAGTTTGCTTCAACTATGCACAAGTGACTTCATGGTAAAGAGAGGAACAAGTGATGCAGTTTTAGGTTCCTTTTGCAGCCCAAGAGCTGCTCTGCCAGCAGAAACCCAGGTGATGTGCTCACGTCCACAGCAGCAAAGCTGTTGCCACAGCTGTACATTAGACCATGGGCTTACCCAGCTGTCGGAGGAAGAGACACTCCCTGCTGTTACACAAGCTCGGGGCAGAGGACAAGGCTTTCGGGCTGCAGCAGCTGGACCCTTCCTTCAGCACGTGCATGCTCACACTTCATAGATGAAGCAATAAGGAAACACTGTCAAGCAGTTATTGTACAACATGCTGACCTTCACCCTGCACTACAGTGTTAACTGAATGTTCCCCCATGGGGAGGCAGAGCTTCATCTTTCCCAAAACTAAATATCCGGAATGCGACTCTTTCAAAAGAGGCAGGCATCCCGTCTTCCCTGATGCTGTGCAGGTCCTCACAAAAGGAACAGGGAAAACCATAAGATGTAAAGTGGGATAGGCCTTATGTACATTTTACAGCCTTAAAGAATGCTCTTTAGATTTATATTGCATATTTTTGTACCACAAAGCTATCAAGAGGTTTTACCGGAGTTACCATGTGTCTTGTGGAGGAAAGGGTGAGTGGTCATAACAAGCCATTGGTCATAATTAGGACACCATTTTGGGTATGCAGAACTGGACACAGGGGAAAGGAAGGAAATACCTTCCGTAGTTTTCATCCCTTGCCTGCCATTAAGACCTACGTGACACAGAGCTGGGTGCTGTGCAGTAAAAATGAGATTTCTCTTCTCCTGTCCAAGGACAGAAAGCAAGTTTTACAAACAGTAGGAGAGTCTCAGAGGCCACAAAAGACAAAGCCTTTGGTTACATACAGCAAGTTCCTCACCTGACAAGGCTTCCTCACTTCATTTCTTTCTTGAATCTAACAAACCCAAAAGCAGCTTACCTCCAGACAGGCAGTATATTTAACCATTACCATATCCTTGGGACATGCACAGGAATTCAATAGCAGAGGGGCTGCTACTTTCCTTAACTAATTAAGATTGCCTCATAACCAGAATCGGAACAGATCCTTGAATTTAGTGTGTGAATCACAAGGGAGCAGAGGACAAACTCTGATCCCACACTTACAGTAAGCCCGATTTGTAGACTTAAGATGAGATACTGCCCTCCTCACTATGAGTAGCCACCAAAGTCCCTTTGTTGCATCTGCCAAATTGAAACACCAAAATAAAATGGTTTGGTATGCGCAAGTAAATTCCCTTATTTTCTGGAGGAAAGAAAAGAGCAAGCTGCTGTTTCCAGACCTAATTTCCCAGCTCTCAAGAGGACACAATTCATTCATCTAGAAGAAAACACTGAGGTGGAAAAGAAAGTATAAGAGAGTGACACGTTAGAATGAGATTCAACATGCTTATTTCACTTGTGACCTAAACTGCAAACACATTTGCCTTTGGGGGTGGGATAATCAGCACACAGTTGGGTATTAGTACAGTTTTTATACTAATTTATTCTCAGCAGTGCCATATTTCAGCTCTTCCCAACATCCTACTACCCTGGAGCAAAAACCCTAGCTTATAATAATGGGTTTTGAGAGTCCGAAAAACAAAAAAGTTAAAATTAATTTTTCAGTGCCAGACAGACTCCTCGGGGAACCCTAACTCAACATGCATGAGCAATACTCACAACAGGACAACACATGGCAAATAAAATGCAAAGCAGAACCAAATGGAAAAAGAGGAGGGAGAGAAGGAGCTGAAAAGAGAGGCGACGCACGTGTGTGTGTAAACACATACACATGCACACAGAGGGGCACCACTTGATGAAGCTTCTCAGTTTTTGCTCTGTAGATGTCGAAGCTGCCTGGATGGAGGCCTCAGATCAGCCCAACATCATTGAACATTGATTTAGGATTTCTACTTATTTTTTATAGGCATGGCATTTAAAGAACACCAGCAATCATGAATTCCTTTAGCAACCTACACCTCTCCATGCCTAAGACCACCAAGCTACTTGGCTCATGC